CCCCCCCCCCCTTTCCACACACACACATCATGGTCGCTTTTAAGCACAAGGGGGCTTTTCCGAAAAAATGCTGTTTTGAGAAAATCGAAGGTAGTTTTGTCTTTAAAAAGACAAGGAGAGTTTTCACTATAATCAAACAAATATACACACCAATGAAACCAAACTTCCCCTATAGGTAGGGCCATGCCCACTTTTGGTGCTGGTCAAGATTTCTGGAAACCCCCGAAATCGGAGTTATATAATATCTATTAGCTGAAACATCAACCTGTAAACACCAAAGCATAGTAAAACATTTAGGTATATTAAATGGAAAATGGAAAGTTCGTTATTTCATGTACTCAGACTATTAATCGGCACAAAGTAAAAATAAATCAGAATGTGCTGACATCAGAACTACAAAGATTAAAGTTCATCTTCAAATAAAAGTAAGAAGTTAAAGGTCTGTAATAATCCAGAACAATAATATAAATACTGACATTCCGTCTATCATACTGGCTATGGCCGCTTTGTGTGATAATAAAAAAACTAAACACATTTCCGAAGATTCTGGAATTGCGGACGAACATAAAAGGCCTAACCAAGTAATGTCAAGCTTGTTTGTTTGTTCGAGTAAAGAGATGCACGTCTACACAATAATGGTCAATTAATGCTTGGAAAAAGTAAGACAGATAGACAGACAGAAACGATAGAGGGAAAAGTAAATAAGTAGGAACTACCCGCAAGTAATGTCATGCACTCATTGTCCTTTTCCTGGAAACATTTCGTGACCATAATTGTAATCTGAAGCACCGCAACGTCCAAAGATTTATCGCTCAATGAATGATGCATAGGATCACAACGAGGATCGATATTCTGATGGAAAAAAACGACTTGATCCGTAAAGGCTCACTGTGAACGCAGCAACCCCCCCCCCCCCCCCTCATACACACACGCGTAACAAAACTCTGCGACTATTCATGCGCTATATTATCGTCATCGCCACGTTTTGCTTCGTTTCTAAAGCTTAAATTTTTAAATATTTAACAAACGATATCAGCTCCCCGTCGAATACAGCACTCAACGATAATAAATCGAAGTCATTCGCAGTAACTGAAATGAGCAGTCAAGCATGTTTGGAAGCAAAAAAAAAACCAACAAAAAAGCAGAATCTCCTATAGAGGAATAAATAATCTCGTAATGTAAATCTTTGGTGCAGTGCAAAAAACAAAAACAAACAAAAACCAAAAAGAAAAGCCTATCATTAAGCTTGGCAAATTGAAATCGTACTTCGTTCAGTGTGGCTGACGTCATGACGGATAGGGATTTCTTTTTTATAATTTTCCCAGTATCGCTCGTTTTCTGCATTTGAATGTGCGTTCACACATGATTCCAAACTCACCATCTCTCTCTCTCTCTTTCTCTCTCTCTCTTCCCCCCCCTCTCTCTCTCTCTCCCTTTTAC